GGGAGGTCGACTCAGTGTAAAGGTGTAATATGGAGGTCTCAAATGTATCAGTAGAATAAAGAAAACTGGTCTCAAGAGATGGCAGAATAAGACATATGAAACAGGAATCACTGGTTATTATGTGACAATAAAAATCACACTACGAAACTCAGATGAGGCTAAGGAAGGAACAGAGAAATACAAATTACCCATCAGGGACTAGGAGTTTACTTAACACTGAGCGGTTTTTACACAGCGTAGAAACACTTCTGAGAACTAGGGAAAAAAGATTCTGACAAAAAGATAAAATCATTCAATGATTCAGAAAACTGAACTATATAACATGCTTTTCAGGAAAGAAAAAAAAAGATAAAAAACAGAGAGCTCAACAGCCTTCCTGCTTCACTGAAAATTTTATGAAGTAATTGTTATTCATAAAGACAAATTCAAGTACCTCCTCTGTTTTAGAGTATTGGGGAAAACACTGGCCCCATCACAGGTTCTAGAAAAGAGAACCATTTTCTTCTCAAAAGAGACTGCATAGCTAGTATGCACATAAAGACTTCAGTTCCTCCTGTTTAACAGGACAACAGTGTCTCTCCTTGAGTTACTCTAAATCCCAGAAAGGCTGTGGACACAAAGTTTGCCAAGATTCTGAGCCAGGTATAAACTAAAAGTCTTAAGTTACACAACACATGATAGCATGTCAGCTCTCAAACATGGATGCAGATCATTCTAAAAGACAAACTCATGTTTTATAAAAACATCTGACATTTCTGTTACATTAGCTTCTTCAAAGTAAAAGAAACATCCTGCATATCCTTAATCATAATTGAGAGAGCTCTTGATGTTGTAGACCAAAATAGAAGAACAGGAAGAAGACGGTGTTCACTTCACATGCAGTGGTTCTGTCACAGTCATTTACTTCATAATTGTATTAACTGAAACATATACAGCAGCTTTGGCAGCAAAACAGAAATGGTATACCACAGGAGCCATGCTAGAGCTGTTTAGTAAGCTGACAGCTGGTGAAAGACAGACTGGCCTGTATTTGACTTTCAAAACACTTTGTCAATCAATACAAGCCTCAACTGAGAGGGCAACTATCACAATACAAAATAAATTAGCAGAGTTATATAACAGACCTAAAGAGTCCTACCTCTTTCACAGGCTTCCATGCACTTGGCTTCATGTGGCAAGACCCTGTTAGTCCACCCAAGTTATTAGCTGGAGTTGAAGACAATGGGTTAAAAGGGGATCCAGTGCCTGCCTTGCCTGAAGGTTCAGGGTCCTGGGCACGATGTAGACAGAAAGCCCCTGCAGTAGCAGTAGTACTCCAAAAGCAAAACATTCTGTGTCACCTTCTCCTTTGCTTACCTGAACTCTGACTCAGTCTGGAAAAATGTAATTTTCTTGAGATACAATGGGACAGGAATATGAAGGAATTCTGTGACCAACTCTGAGTGAGACAGAATAACAGCTGTGAGAGAACAGGTGAGAGAAAGCAGAACCTAACACCCCCTGGCAGCAAGCAGTACCTGCAGGTAGCTGGAGCACTGGTTCAGTTCTTATCACCACCACCGTGCTGCAAGTGATTAACTGAACTAACACACACCACATGCCACCATTACAGCCACACACATGGGTTTGGGGAGGAAGGAGCACATTTACTCATTACTCCAAGAGCCCAGTGGTTGACTCTGTAAGAGTAAAGAATGCATATTAACGCATTCCTCTACAGAACAAATTCATACGATTTTTATCTCTGCTATAATGCCCTCAGACTTTGGGGGAAAGAACTGCCCTGGATAGTTATCTCTGTTGATGTAACATGCATATTTCTTGTTAGGACAGCACTTCAAGTTACCCAGTATTTTTCATTTGCATAACCATATATTTACTAAGCTCACAGCTTAGTTATTTACCCTTCTGACAGCATCAATTTGTCATATGTTTGTTTTTATCCTTATCTTTCATTTTATGCCACAGATTTGGCTTTTATTAAAAACATTAATAAATTTGCTGACAAAAATTGAAGGACCCACTATAATTGAATAACTCACTCATCACAGGGAATGCAGAAGGAAGAAACAATAAAGGCCTCAAAAGCCTGAGAATGTTAAATCAGCTTCCCCAGACTCGTAAAGCAGGCAGGTGAGGTTAGCAGGGCAGGAAGGCATTGCTACCCCTACAGCAGTTCACCACTGCACATGGAACAGGTATTAACCCAATGGGACATACAGCTGCATTACAAACTGACTGCAGTGTCTGATCACTGAACTCTTTGTAAGTAACACGAAATCTACAAATCACTACAACCACCTCAAGTTCTATGCAGAGCACCCTGGAGACCTTGGCTAGGGCAGGACACCAGCAGAGATTCAGAATGACCGCTTATCTGTTCACACCATCTGTTTCCACTGCTGCCTTTTTCTGATGAGAGAAGGGCGATTTGAATTTTCTAATAACATTTAAAAGGGGCAATACTAGTAAATAAGGCACCTTTAATGTTTGAAAATGGATTGCTAGTCTTCAGGGTGCTGTGGCTTTTTACAGTAGCCTTTCACTCCTGACTACTACTCCATGCCACAATGCATTTGTGCACGAATGTATTCTTTTGGGCAAAAACCTAGTGGTAACTACAACAAAAAGCAGCGCTACTGTATCCATCACCAACTTCTTCCTTGCTTCTTTAGGGTACCAAATCCCCTACTCAGAAAATACCTTACCCTGGAATGTAAAGTCCCTTCTTCAGCAAAAGTCCTCTTGCCACCTTGCTGGGCAGGAGCCCCAGAGCAGGATCTGGGCAGGCAGCCTTGCGTCCAGGAGTCATTTCCCCTTTCACTGCTAATGGGGGGAACTAAGCAAGTATCACCATTCCGTGCTGTGCCATACCACCCCATCCAAGAAAGCCAAGCAAACGAAGGGATAGCTAAACATGGGTGCTGTGTAGCAGATTCACAAGGAAAGCAGGAGACCAGTACTTTAAAAACCATTTTGATTTTCTATGTCTTGAAAATCATGATGCCACGAGAATAAGACTATAGAAAGCCCACCATCACAATTAGAACTTCAACAGACAAGGTTAGAGGAGTACATCACATCTAATTATTTATTTGGACTCTGGAAATGTGATTACATTCAAGTGATGGGGCTGTATCTTAAATGAACAAATAAAAGTCATCAAGAATTTTCAGAATACTACATCACAGAACAAAAACTGAGAAGAACTGAAAAACAAAATTGCACCACAGTGAGCAATCTCTAAATGTCTTTTTCCCTCCCTGAGGCTAGAACAGCTGCAATGGGTGGATAAGGTATGAGGATAGTGCAGCATCTTTCCAGAGGAAGAGGCTTCAACAAGCTCTAACATTTTCAGTGCATTATTTCTGAATATGCTCATTAAGGTGTTGGGTTTTTTTTAACAACCACTTGAAAATATTTGATGGTTTTTTCCCCTCCTCCTGGCCATGAACATGCATAAGCAGTTCCTTTTAACAGAAGAACTGTCACACACACACAGAAAAAAATTGGCAGGCTTTCACAGAGGTAAGCTCTCTTTTTCATAGCAGAAAAATAGAATAAACACTGGGATATTCACAGAATCACAGCTTTGGTTTGAAGGGATCTCAGGATCTTTATCTGGTCCAATCCACACTCAAAGCAGAGGCTATTCAGTATTTTATTTATCAGCAAATTTCTAGTCCTGACTAGTCAGCCCAACTGCAAGTTTCATGCATCCCAACATTATTTGTTCAAGCATTAAACAAATAAGAGCAACCGTAATATTTATTCAAAAGGTTAATACTGTATGTTTTGACTTTTAAAAAAATAACAGTACTTAAAAGCTATTATGTCTACCTAATTCATCACTTAGAGTTGTATAATGGTCCATTACAGAAACTACAGGATCCTGCCTCGACATTCATATACATTTGCAACAAGGAAGTGAAACCCCCCCTCTAAGATCTCCTATTCATTGTTTACTCCAAATTCACAAGCAAAAAAAAAAAGGTAACAATAAGCAAACTTCAGAGGAAGTGCCAGTTTATCAACTTTGAAACAATTACCAACAGATACAAATTATCTTAATATTACAGTGGCTGAGGGTAACAATTTTTTTCTGTTTTTTCCAAGTTTTTGTAGTACTTCAGGTTAAATGACATCTTGACTAAAGCTGAATTTAGTTTGACAGTAAGCAAAAAAAAATCTCATCTCACATTTTTAAATAATGCTGACATGTCAATCTTAGATCTTTCTTTGTCCTATTATCCAAAGAAATACTCATTTGCTAACACGAATAAGTTTAAACTTCTCTCAATATCAACCTTAAGAACTCACCCCAAATTCACACACTTAAAATTTGACTTGCCTCCTTTTACCTGACTTTCTATGATGATTAAGAAAAACAGCACTTAGAGCAGATTGACAGTTAAGTTGAAAAATGTCTTTTTTTTTTTATCTTACAGACTGGACTATTAAAAGTATATTCTGCATGTGAGGAAGGCATTCCTTAATCTTATTTATGGATTATCAGCAGCCAAAAAACCCAGAAAACTGATACAGACTAAAATTTGTTGTGCTACATATAATTAAGACTTTAAATTATTTAATCCTTTAAACACAATTCCGTAACCAGGAAATACGCAGTCTTTGACTTGTCATCTTACTACAGCTATGGCATTGGCATTTCTTAACTACGTTATTCTCCTCCAGAGCTAGGCAGTAGAATGCAAGCTACATTTTTCAGTATTTCACTATTTCATTAAAATGCCTCAGATCTAAATTTGTTGGAGGCTCATCACTTGGAAAATAAACAAAAATCAGACCTCATTTAGTATTTCCATTTTCATGCTTTAATGTACAATGCTCTGTAAAATATGAAAATGAAAGCAGACAGAAAACACCATTCATAAATCAGAGATGATATGAAAGCATGCACATAGAAATAATTTCTATTTCTGACTAGCAAGCAACCAGAAAACATGCAGACACAATAATTTCAACAAGTGGCATATTACCTGGGTGGAGCTGGCAGCGACAGAAATGCAGTCAATGAAACCATGTCTCCGAGTGAAAAATGCAACTATCTGCTGCCAACGGGAAGGCTCATTCCGTAACTCATCTGTCGAGCCTTTCTTTGCCCACTGCTTGTGCTTTGGGCCTACAGAACTGTGGCTTGAGCTAGTGTTGCCTCGATTGGCGCGAGAATAGAGGAGTGTGTTATTTCCGAAAATGTAATTCATCTCTGCAGCTCTGCAGGTGGTTGCCAGGCAGTCTTACTTCCCTACCAGCTGCTGAGTGGTGAATGAGCAGGGGGGGAAAAAAATGCAGATAGAATTACAGCAGCATCATTTACAAACCAGGAAAACAAAATTCTTGATAGCTGATGCTATTTTTCTTCTGAGCTTTTCCACTCCCTACATCCCTTCTGTACCTGTGATTATAGTAATGAGCATAATCTTGAGCAATTTAAAAAAAAAAAAAGGCAAGCAAATGTTTTCCTTATTTTTCCTTTCTCAGAACCTACAGGATCAAAAGCTTGTTTTCTCTTCCTAGCTGACAACAGCTATTTAAGAGAAACTGGGTAGCAGGTACAGTACCATGTTACAAATTCACAGCTATGAGGATGGTGGTGCATGATAACAGCTACTGGGTGGAGAAAGCATGGATCAAAAATAACCAAGTTTCAATCACTGCCTGTAGTAAGATCCAATAGCATCTTTTCACTTCCTTGCTTGCATAAATTATAAACCTGAACCGAACAAAACAGGGAGCAGGCAGTATGATGGCACTTGTTTGCTGATTTTGTCTTTCTGAAAATGTTTCACAGAGTAAAAAGACCTTAACAACATGTTCAGAAAAAATATTCAAGACAGAAGTGTTTGCTGGTTCCTTTCTCCCCCCCAACAAAAAAACAACTACAGAGGGAAGATACTGTGCCACAAAACAGTCATTTTGTGCTCTGTACCAATGAGTGCCTAGTGGGGCTGTGGTGTTGGGGTTTTTTTAAGCAGCAAGATTAGGGATATTAAGATTAAACACCAGAAGTCAACACTCTTATTCTTATTCTATGATTAATGTGTCATGATCATAACATCTATTTCCAAAATTCCATGAATACTGTAAGCATAATACAAAATCAGTAAATATGAAAACATTACTTCTCCAAAGTACAAGAATTGGCAAAAAATGAAAAATTCTTACTGAAATTCTACTGAACTTTCAAAAAAATTTATTTCAATGCAAATCACAAGAGTATCACTGCTCTAAGTGTGCATTTTCTCTGCTCTCTCTACAGTAAAAAAAGGGTAAGTCACACAGTAACTAAAGATCATAAGAATTCAATTTATCTTACAGAGTTCACCATTCAAATTTTTATAGTCAGTTCTTTTACAAAAAATCCTCCAGCTCACATGTAAGAGATTACCTGGAAAATCAGTTAAGTATCAAGGCTAAGTATCAAGGCTTTCACTACAAACTTGCCTCCAAAAATCCAGCAGAGTTATCAAAACTGTTTGTGGTATTTTTTTTTTTTTATACAAAATGCTCTCACAGTCACAATCATAACACTAGGGCAAAGATTTTCAAAACAAAGGAAATTCTCAACATGATGAACAAAGGTATAAGCGTTCCTTACAAAGCTGCCACAAGTTACAACACAATGATTCTACAAATCTACTGCATGATGTGCATTTTACTGGTGATTACCAAATTCCCCCATATACTTCTTTTTGGTGCAATATACTCTTTTGCTTAAATTCTTACTGACAGCAATCCTATTCTGTGTAACAAATTTTTCCTGACAGCTTACATTACAAGCAGAAATAATAAGTACAGTAATTTAAAACTGTGGTAATAAGATCAAAGCACCATTTACTTCTAGTCACTAGTACAGCTCAATAACATATCACATACAAATATTCTGAGTACATCTTTCAGACAGACTTTATTAATATTCATAAAATACAATGGCTTATCAGTTTAAGTTATATGAAACTCAGTCTGACTTGTGCAGTGTCCTCAAAGCTACGTTCATAAGATAAATAATGGAGATAAAGAAATGCCTGAGACATAGCAGATGCAATGATCTTTTTAACTGCACAAGCTTTTTATAATGTGAATTCTTTTCATGCGAAGACTGCAGCCCTACCTGAGCCCTGCCTTTTTCCAAACTTGAAGAAAATACCTAGTCTGAAAAATGCCTATGAATTTATTACTGGAGAAATTTCTTAATCTCTATGGCTATGACTGAAGATGTTTGGAACAAACTACAAGTCACATGCTTTGAATTCTGAGTCTTTTTATAAAGAGTCAAAGTGAAAATATTTTTTACTTTTTTCTTCATATGGCCTTGTATGTCAACACTGCTGTACATTTTTAAAAGATCTGAGAGAACAAGAATATTAGTATAACTTTCAAAAAATCTTTAAGAATTTTTTTTTTTTTTAACACACACACATATATATATCTCTCCATATGGTCTAAACTGAGGCTCACTTAGGGGAGTATTGTTTAAAATTCTGAAAGTAAACAACGCAATACACAGATAAGGAATCCACCAAGTACCTATTTTTCTTGTTGTTATATCCATCTGTCTGAAGATGAGACAGGTTTGCTGCATTTTAAGGCAGCTTCTTTCAGGGATGATTCCCACCCAGCCAACAATCAACCGTGGCATCACTGACAAAGAGACTTTAGAAATCAGCACTTCAGGAAAGGCTCATATGGGAGAAAAAAAAAATCCTGAAAGTGAGGCTATGATGATTTAATTTCAAAGGAGACAGAAATCCAAAAAGTACTTCAGGAAGAGGTTATGCAATCATGCTGGTGATACAAGACAGCAATCTGTGTCACCTACACTCCATATGGATGTCAGTGATATTGAGCAAGATTTGCTGATGCCTAAGAAGATACAGTTGTGGTTATTTGTAGAAGGAGCCTGTACTGTGGTGATGAGACAAATTCTCATTTTTTACAAGTTACAAAGCAACCTGAAGATAAAGGCATAACTCTAGAGATGGCACAACATCAGCATAATGTAATGGAGTCCAGACTAGAAGAATGGTTGCTTGTGCAGTTAGAAAAAGCAATGGGTGGGAGTAAAAACAAGGGTGAACTTAAAAATTAACATCAAATACTTGGAATAAAGTTCCTCTAACTTTGTACCTGAGACAATTCTTATTATCGGCTTGCTGGGACAAGTTGAAACATGACATAATGCCATATTTTAATCTCAAAGACAAAGTTTTCCTGGACATACCTTTACAAGTAGCATGCATACCTTGAAACTAAAAATGCACAGCAACAAAAACTGTGGATGCAAACAGCAGTTATATCTCAATTACCCTTTTTAAACAATAACAACAAAACCCCTGAAGCATTTGAAAAGTCTTATATTAGTTTTATTACCATCCTGCTAACCATAATATTGGCTAAAATAAGAACAGATCCTAAAGAAATGAACTGATATACTTAATAAAGAAAATTCAAGAACCACCTAAAATAATGGCAAAGACTTATTTTATTTTCAGTATCATTTAGGTTTTTACCAGAAAAAGAGACAAAAGAAATGCGCAGAACTCAATTTAAATACTCAAATACAAAACTTTACAACTTTAACTCTCCAGGCAGGGGAACAAAACACACCACTGAAAATGCAGATATAAACTCATGTTTACTTTTTACACTTTTCAGAATTTTGTATTTAATAAATTTTTACTGGCATAACAAATTTAAGTCTCATTAACAAGCATATGCAATATTCTAAGCCAAAGCCCAGGAGTACACTAGTCAAATTGGACACTGTGGAAAAAGAAATTGTTAACCCTTTCTGCTAAGATACATTAGAAAGCTGATCTTAGCTTTTAGTTGAGAGATAGGACAGAAAGGATAGCACTTGATCAAGTGTGATTTGCATGGTCAGTAAAAAAAAGTAGATATTTTACTGCTGAAACTACCTTATACGTAAACACCCCAGCAGGATTATTCTATAATGACACATTTTAGTATAAATATTGAATATAAAAGATTATTACATTACTACTCATACTACACCTCAGACAACCTACCAATCTGAGCAGATTAAATTGCCTGGTCTTCCGTACCCTGTTCATGAATCTCCTGCCCATCTTTTTGGCACGCCAGACTGATAAAAACATCCTGTGTTTAATGCAAGTTTCTTTGGCCTTTCTTCAGTCATGAAAATGAACCCAACTGCACTGACAGCTCAGGGAAAATCTCAGGCGAACAGAGTATAACCAGTTATTAAGAAGACTTAATGTTGATTACTGTATCTTAGGTTGTTCTAATGTTTGGATTAATCCATGGTCCATCTGTTACAGTTTTTCTTTCTTGTCTGTTGACAAGAATTTGTTGAGCAGATCCACACTGAGAAAGGGGCAGATTTGGTCAACTGCTTCTTACTATAGGACACAAACTGACACCTTTGCAGATATTTGTATATTCTTCAGTTACAGGAAGTTCAAGAGTAGTTACCTATGAAGAACTTGGCAAGGCATTTTAATTAAAGATTATAGCACTCCTCTCAAAAGTGACCACCAAAGTATGATGCTAGTCTAAAAATGAGTACTTCTAAGGGTATGTTCAAGTTTTTCTTTATAATTTCCATTATTCTAGGTATGTTCCTAACTCCAGAGGT